GAGGCTCATCCGCCAGCCCCGCCAGCAACCAAACATCGGCTAGTAGTCTAGGCAGATAACATTGCCGGCAAAGTAAATGGAGACTGGGATGGCCATTTCTGGCTCATTAGCCATCGTCAGTCAGTCATACCCAACCCCAAGCGGTGCACCATCCGAAGCTCGGTCTCGCGACCTTTTGATCAGAAGTATAACGCTCTAACCAGTGGGCCACGAGATCGCTTTCTTGCCATATTACATCAGGAGATAGTTGCACTCGTTGATGAACGTTCTAGTGGAATTCACTCGTCCCGCTCTGTCTTGAGGTCCCTTCAAACCCTCATTTGTACTCTTGAGAACATAACGCCTACGAAAGCTAGATTTTCTGGTAAAGGTCGGTCGGCTCGACAGGCGCAGAAGTTATCGTGTGACCCAGTGGCCCTTCGGGTTCGCAAGTGGTGAAGGAGGGGGGGAGAGAAAGAGAGCTGGTGTGCCTGCTTAATATGCGTTCCCAAAGCTAGTTTAGAGCAGAAGCGCTAGGTGGAGACAGGAACGTCATACAATGGAAACGGAGGAAAAGAATCATCTCTATATTTCTACTCTATATAGAGATTATACGGAGATGATAGAGTGTGCACGATTGTGTCCGATTGGGCACTATTGGTCATTGTAATTATCGCGCGCAAATAATCAATTAGGTAAATAAGCTGTTTTCTGATCTAAATCGAACTGTTATCGGAGCATCTAAAGGGCATGCACAGGCCTACACCACCGAGAAAAAACGACAAACACCGGGGCAGGCTTGGTGCACGGTGCCAAAGAAACGAGTGATAGTTATTGGAAAGTCCTTCCTCTGTAAAATGAATCGACTCCTAGCATCAGGTGATTAATTCGTCACTGAGCATTAAAAATCTAGCATCTTGAGGTGTGCTTGAGTAACAATTTTACCAATCGGACATGTAAAAAGGTCACAAGCCATAGCAATATGTTAATCTTGGGTAATGAACGCTCGCCGATCGGTTACGGGAATCACGCGTCCAGTCCAGCTCTGGGTCTCACTCTCGAGCCCCGCGAGCAGCCGCATAGCGGGTAGTATTATGGGCAGGCTAACATTGCCGGTGAGTACAAGGGAGAGTGAAATACTCATTTCGAGCTCATTAGTCCTCATCTGACAGCCATACCCAACCTCAGGCTCGGTACAACCAAAAATGACCATTCCTGTCTACTGTGTCTTTGCTAACAATGTCGGCAACAGTAGTTTATACAGTGCACTTCATTAATCCCTATTCCGAGCATCTTGCATACCACAATGGTGGTTATTGGGTTTTATGGGTGGGGAATTAGGATAGACAGTGGAATATACCTTAATAACTACTAGATGCATTTTTATTTTATTGTATTTAGAAATTTTGTTGATTTACATCTGTAAATATTCCTAATCGGTATTATCGTGTAAAGTATTGTGGAGAAAACCCGGTTATCAAATTACAGGTTTCTTGTAATTCCTGAAAAATAAAAATTGTGGTCAGGAGGTCGTTTACTTCAACTTGCCTGAAGTCCAACTTACCGCTCTGGAGTTAGATTAGTATAGTCCTCGGCGCAAAGCGCCGCGCATACCTTCTATTTACCTGTGGAATAACTTACTCCCAGCGGCTGCGGGAAAAAATTCACCCACATTTTTTTAACATTTCACTTACATCTAAAAATTTCCGTCCCTGCCTATCCTATTTCCCCACCCCCAAAAACCCTATAACCACCAGTTCCGTAGGACAAAATGCTGGGACTAGGGGTATATGAGGCACACTACATAAACTACTTTTGCCGTAATGTCAATCGGTGTATTGAACGTAATCGGGTAGACCTCACCTACCATCAGACACTACCAGTTGACTATATACTTGAGAGTAATGATTACGGTTTGTGACGACACTGGAATAGTAAACAAGGATGTTTCAGAGATGCCTGGAGCAGGACATTCCCACATAAGGTACATTAACAGGAGCCCCCTCCCCCGCTCCGGTAGTAAAGGTGACCTTTCACTGACTTCCAGGACGGGTAGGTATTACCAGGCTATGGTCCTAACTATAGAGCTACTCCTAACTGAACACTAATCGTAATCTCCCTGCAAATTTCCCCGG